ACCCATCACTTGTTACTTCATACAACAATATTGATTCTATTCATCATTCCATGGGCGATAACTCCACTGCACTTTCTTTATATCAAAAAGCATATGAAATCTGTCGAAAAACGCCTCATCTCAGTCAATCTGATGTAGCAGCCGCGACTTATAACAAAATTGGATCAACACATCGTTCGATGAAAGAGTATTCTACTGCTCTTCCGTTTTTTGAAAAAGCACTTAAAATACAAAGCATATCTCATAATCCTAAGAATCGTAATTTGGCTATTACGTATAACAACATGGGTTTAGTCTATTACGAGATGAACGATTATCAGAATGCACTTTCGTTTTATGAAAAAGCGCTTCAAATTGAACAAAAATCACTTCCTGACGATCACCAAGATTTGGGTACTTCATACAACAATATTGGATTAGTATATTATTCGATGAAAGACTACTTAAAGGCACTCTCATTTCACAAGAAAGCACTTGATATTCAAGAAAAAGATCTCTTCTGATGATGTAACGCTTGCTACAACTTATAGCAACATCGCTTTAGCGTATCATGAGATGGGAAACTACTCGAGTGTTGTCTCTTTCTACAAAAAAGCACTTCAACTTCGAGAAAAATCTCTCGCTAGTGATGACTTGACATTGACAACCACCTACAACAATATCGCTGTTGCCTATAGATTAATGGGAGATAATATAAATTCACTTGCGTTTTATGAAAAGACACTAGCCATTCAAGAACAATCTTTTACCACGAACGATTCAACATTAGCTACAATCTACACTAGAATTGCATCTCTACATTATTCGATGAAGAACTATTCGAATGCTGTTATCTTTTATAAGAAAGCGATTACGATTGAAGAGAAATTGTTAACTCGGGATGATTTATCGCTGTCAACTAATTATAACAACATTGCTGTCGCTTATAGTTCAATGAACGATGAATCAAATGCTCTTCTGTTTTACGAAAAGGCACTTGGAATTCGATTAAAAAAGCTTGCAGTCGATGACCCATCCTTGGCTACAATCTGTACTAGTATTGCATCTCTACATTATTCGATGCAAGATTGCTCAAATGCAGTCGCGTTTTATAAGAAACCAATTGAAATTCGCGAAAAATCGGCGCCTCCAGATGATCTTGATTTGGCAATCAACTATAACAATATTGCAGTTGCTTACGCTTCAATAGGAGATAAGCCAAATGCTCTTCTGTTTTACGAAAAGGCACTTTCAATTCAAGTAAAAAAACTCCCACCCGACCACTCATCACTAGTGCTCTCAAACATGCCGAGCGTTCTGTTCATAGCGCTCGTTTAGCTTTCGGTCCTGACCATTCGGAAGTAATAGATAATCAAGCTTTGGTGAACAAATTGCGTAATAAACAATGATTAAGATCTTTTCGTATGGAATAAGAAAAATTTCTTCCACTTTCTACTTTATTTATCAAAGTAAAGAAAAGCATTTATGGTGAATCGAATGTTTTAATAAAGACTGAGACATTCCCTAACCTTGTTGTTATGCATAAACACCTGACTCTTCGGAATCTTCATGTTAATGTTTAGATTATTACGTCTTACAGGCAAATCGACGTTTTTTCACATTTAAATCAGAATTGTAAGGTTCTCGAATAGAAAAGAAACCCGTCATAGAATGTCATTCATGTTAAAATTCACATGTATTCTAACTTGTTTGCTATATCATAACGTACAACAGCATAATACAATTTTCGGCAACAGCTTTTTCTCCACCAATTACTTATATAGTTAGTAGTTTCTAATATATGCGACTGACTCGAGCGTAATTATGACAAAATTCATCCTGGTTTTAAACTTGAAAAAAATAGCTGCTTTCGTATGTTTCGTGTTTTCACCTTTACAATCATTACTTTAAATTCGGGTGATGACAACTTTAATCATGTTAGATGGGTACACTGATGGAATCAGATTTTGATATTACCATCACATTGGATTCGAGGCACCATCTTCCATAGAAACTTAAGTCTAACATCCAAAATACGAAAATAGCGAATCGATTTTACTAGAACTGCCTACCATAAAGCTGGCGAATATCTCTATGGGGGATAATCAAAACGCCTTATCGTCATATGAGAAATCATTCGAAATCAAACTAACTTCGCTTCCGCCGAACCACCCATCGCTTGTTACTTTACCTTGAAGGCACCGATGTCTTCTATCCAACCATGTATAAGTATATCAGAAAGAAAAAGTCATGGAAACTTCAAATTACAGGCAGCTTACTAAAAAAACTTTTCTAATGTATTTATTTGCACTTTGTAGAGTGAACTAAAACTTTTCTGATGCTGGTATTGTTTGATCTGTTAATACCTGACAGGGCTCTACAGCCAGTGAAATTAAGATACCGACCAATGAAGTTTTTAAGCATAATCGAAAAGAAAAATGTACTTCATAGCTGAAAATGAGAAATAATAAAATTAACGCTGTTTTTACTAATATCTAATTTTAAATCAGCATCAACTGGTTTTCCGGCTGTTCCGAAACAGCCAAGGCTGTTAATGGTAGAATAATTAATGTTCGATATCAGTTCGTTTCCTTCTTTTCGTTCAAACACAACTTCTTCTTCTCTGCTGCACTGTTAACTTCACTGTGAACAAACATCACATACACCTCTTGAAATTTTCTTACTTTCTAGAGCGTATTTCTTACAGTCATGAGAACACTTTTTCTTCGAAGAGACCACTTAAATGTGAAAAAATTCGTAAATTTTTTACATAAGAAATGCTTTATGGCTCTTGATTATGAATGGTGCAACTTGAAACCAGTTTTTTCTGCATAAAAACAAACACAGTGATGTTATTAGTTTTGTTTAATACTCAAAAGGAAATCTCAGATTTAGGATTTTGCTTTATGACGGACAGCCCTCCACGTGCTCTCGGATTCAGCGCGAAATTTGGCACCTGGCACCCAATGCCTTTCTAATTTGGTTTAACGCGGAGAGAGCACCAAATTTTCTTCTCAGCAGGATCGATGAAGAAGTGCGAGGAAAAAACTTTGTCAATAGTTGACGATGGACGAAGTGGTGACAGGGCAGAAAGCTTGCGGAGCGAGAAAGAATTTTTGCAAACTTGACGAGGGACGGGGTGATGATGAGACAAGAACTGCCTGAGGCGAAGCCCACGGGGGAGCTAAAAACAGTCCGTCGCCCACCTCTGATAGAGAAGACGATAACAGAGACGTCTGTTGGAAAGTGATTGAATTTTAAATTTTTTGAGTAGAGAAGAAGAAGAACTAATAAAGTCTTGTGAAATGATTCTACTAGCAACACGCTAAATTTTATCCAAAATTTGAAGATGGATATTAAAGGTGGAATCGTTTATAACACAACCGTATTCGAGCACAGGTTTTACACAAGTTTTATACAAATAACAACGAAGAAATGAAGGCGAGTCACGAAAACTCTAGAAATAGAGCCTAACATTTGACGAGAATTTGTTGTAACATATTCAATGCGCGCTTTTCACATTAAATTATATTGATGATCAGTCGTATGACCTAAAACTATTCGACAAACATTTTTTAACTAACTTATTTTCAATTCTAGTAATCGCTTGTAGTTCAAATGGTGCATGAGTCTTAATTATGTTCAATGCTTTTCTATAGAATTCTTCAGCCACCCAACGTTGTCCGTTTTTAAGATGCAAATTAGCATAGAGTTCATAATTAAAACCTACAGCACCATGGGAAGTTGTTGATGTTTTATAAAATATTTTCATTGACTTTTGACAACAATCGAAACATTCTGAAATTTGATCTAAATCGTAATAAATAACAGCTAAAGAGCTCCAAGCATTGGCATAATTTTGTTGTTCATCTACAGTTTCAAGAGTCAGTTGTTGATATAAATCAATTGCTTCTTGACAATAATCTAAGGCTAATTTATGTTCATCATCCGAATAGTAGTACCACCCGATATTATTATAGCAATTAGCTAGTTCAATTTGTTCTTGATTTTGACGCAGTTCAATTGCTTCTAATATTCGTAAATATTTAAATGCATAGTCGAGTGCCATTTTATTATTACTTAGAATTGAATAGAGAGAGCTTATGATACTGAGTAGTTTACAATTTAGTTTTTGTTGTTGTTCTGTCATAGTTGTTGCAGTTGAATATAAATATAAACTTTTTTTGTAATATTTTAATGATAATAAGTAGAAATTCAGTTTATAATAACAAAATCCAATATCGTTATATATCGTTGCCAGCTGATCATTTTCAATTTGATTATCATCAATTAAGTCGGTATAATATACTATATCATTTGTATCATCATCATTGTTACTTTTATTGCTGTTTAGTAAGACTCTAGAAAAATATAGATGATAGATAAATCGCATGATAAAAGAAAAAGATACAGTAAAACATCGACTTTAATTCAATACGAAACGATTGTAAGTGTAACGTATCATTCGTTTAACACTAGAACGCCAGTAGCGGTCATTTTGACCGTTTTTTGATTTTTAGCCCTATACTAATGAAACGCACTGCATACAATTTACTTAAAAATACATTATGTCATAACTTTTAATTTGTCCCACAAAAATCAGTTTTTGTAGAATTTTCAATTCATTTTTGAGTTCTGAACCGTTTTTAATTATAAAATTAAAAATGAAAACAGTAATGGTCAAAATGACCGCTTTGGGCGTTCTAGGTCATGAAAATTTCCGGGCATTCTAGTGTTAAATTTCAGTCCTCAGTCGATTATTTCGAGTTGGATAAGATGCGCGCAATTCAAAAATCGAGCACTGTCTCAGTTTTTGGTCGAAAGCTGCGTAGTCAGGTACTCCTGACTGTGCTGATTCCGAATATCACCTTTTTTTCGAATTCGATCAAGGTTTTGGGGAGAAGTTTTCAAAATACTAGGGGCACCGAAAACACAAAAAATTTGCATCATTCTAAGAAAACTTGAGATTTTGCCCCCTTTCGTTCACTGTTTTTGATGCAGAATCCGAATATATCAAATTCGAAAAATTACAGTGAACGAAACGGGGCAAAATCTTATAGAATGATGCAAATTTTTTGTTTTTTCGGTGCCCCTAGTATTTTGAAAATTTCTCCCCAAAACCTTGACCGATTTCAAAAAAAAAGATGATATTCCGAACCAGCGCAGTCAGAAGTACCTGACTACATAGCTTTCGACCAAAAACTGAGATGGTGCTCGATTTTTGAATTGCGCGTACCTTAGTTCTGAAGTTGTTTCTTTCATCGGATCAATCAGTACACATGTACCATGATTTTTTTTGCCTATTATGTATGTTAACAGCACTCATCAAGTACTAAAGCTGTGCCTGAAGTTTATGCTATTATTATATGCGAACGAAAACAGTGTAACTTCTTTGGTATGAATATCGCTGTTTGAAGAGCATTTTGCTTCTCAAACATTTTTTTCTAAGAATTATTGGAAAACCGCTGACTCTTAGCGATAAGGTGGCCTAATGTCACGTACTTAACAATTGACTGCTGTTGTTTATTATCGTCGTTTAATATAATTAATTTCAAACAGGTTTTGTATTCTTCTAATGCTTGTTCATAGTCTAATTTATGTTGGTAACACTCACTTTTACCCATAAATAAATTAATTTTTCTTGCTACTTCTTTATCTTCAGTATATTCTATTGCTTTATTATAGTAAACTAAAGCTTGATCAAAATCTTTTTTACTAAAATAACAGTCACATAACCCTAAATAGGCATCAAGTAACGTTGAGCTTTCTGAACATAACTTTGAACTTTTTAAGTAATAATCGAGAGCCTGATCAGTCGATTTTTCTCGCATATAACACCAACCCATTTGTATATAACACAAACCAATGCCATTTTGATCATCATTGTTGATAAATTGTAATTTTTTTTCATATTGTTGACGAGCTTGTTCGTACCTTTTCAATTTACAGTAAAGGGAACCAATAGAACTGTAAGTGTTCAACATTTTTGACGGTTGATCATTAGAAAGATCCAAACATTTTGTAAAAAACTCGATTGATGTTTCGTAGTCGTTCTTTTTATCATAGTATACAGCAAGATTTTCATTTATACGACAAAGTTCAGATGCTAAATTTCAAAGATATATAAAGATTGCATCCAGATAGATGCTCGATGGGCACAGTAGTCAATTGTCCTTTTCTCACAACAAGAACACTTGATTGCTCAAACAGAACATGGTTGCATTATACTTTTAGGTTAGGGAAGCCGTCAAAACTATGAACGAATCAATCGGATCAAACGAATCATTCGGATCATTCGAATCATTCGGATCATTCGTAGAATAATGTAAAGCGCTCCTCTGTGATGTTTGTATAAGAGAGAAAATATATAAAATCTATCTTTTCTTATCCATTTTATTCATTTTTTCCAATAGATTACTTTTTATTAACTCTTATATATAACACATCAAAGAATACATTAACTGTGCTAATTAATTATAGGTAATATATATATTCTCTTTGGCCTTATCACTTGCTAATATGGTCTTACAAATAGTAAGAATGATTTCTCGCCACCGTTGTCATAGTGGGTTTGTTCAGGTATTACATAGACTAATTATAGAATCGACTATGAGAACTATACTGTGGAACGAAAAGGAAAGAAACAACATATGACAGTTTGATCATTATTTTGTAAAGAAAAGTGGTTTGGGAGTCTAGATATTAGGAATAGTCAATTACGTTGTACATCGAAAAGATCTCACTAAGGTGACTGTGATTTTTACTCGAGGATCTTCGCGTTGAGATTTCACGCTTTCCTACAGTACAGTACAACTTAGTTCACCTTCCAACTTCAAAGAAAGCCATCTGTTTGATCTTTCTTCCTTCTTCGCGCTTATAGAAGTGAACATAGACATCAAGAAAAGGAGAAAAGAACAATTTTTCTATTTTAATCTAGATATTCATTTATTATGTCTAAAAGAAGTACTGCTCATCCTATATTCTAACAACTTCGCGAATTAAAATTAAATTAACTAGAGAGGACC